TCCCTGGAGAAGGATATCATGTTTGGTTAAGTGTAGGGTTGGAGAAAAAGAGGGAGACCCCCTGAGAGATGGATTGTCACAGTGGTGGCAGTGATTGGCTCAGGCCTAGCAACTATTGTGAGGTTGGCTAGGACCCCTCAGTGTTTCCTTTGTTCTTCTGTGCATGTGGTAACTATGAGTTGGTGGTAACTCCATGGCACCTAACAACAACAACAACAACAATGATTCCTTTCTTCACTATCTTTTGGGAAATTTTAAACTGTATTTGCTGTCAATTCCCCAGGGAAACTATCTTCTCCAGCATTGATTTTAGACCCAAAAAAAGGCATTAAAGGGATAAGGAAAAGGTGTTTTTTCACTGCTTTGATCTTCTTCACTTGTGATAAGTCTATTGAAACCTTCTAATTTTCTCTTGAGTTAGTTTGGGTAGGTTGTGTACTTGTAACAATTTGTCCATTTCATCTAAGCTATCCAGTTTGTTTCCATATAGTTGTTCAGAATATTATATCATAACTCTCTTGATTTCTGTACAGTCAGTTTGAGTGGCCCCTCTTTCATTTCTTATTTTATTTGCATCTTTTTTCTTCGTTCTCTTTTTTTTTATCTATCTAAATATTTTATTGACCCTTTCAGAAATCCAACTTGTGATTTTTATTGTCTCTCTCTTGGTTTTCTGTTTCACTTTATTTCTCCTCTGACCTTTGTTGTGAACTTTCCTTTAGCTGGTTTAGGCTTTGTTTTCTCTTCTCTTTCTAGTTCCTGGACTTGTCAAGTTTGACTGTGAATTTGAGATATTTTTTTTAATAGACATTCATTGCTCCACATTTTCCCCTCAGTATTGTGTTAGCTGCATGCCAAAAGTTTGGGGGCATTGTGGTTCCATTTTAATTAGATTCCAAGGTCATAATCTTTATGGGAGCAGATAATCAGGTCTTTTCTCTCAAAGAGCAGCTGGTGGGTTCAAACCACCAACCTTTCAGTTATTGGCCAAGCACTTAACTATGGAGCCACCAGAGCTCCTTAAAATCTTACATACCGAATGATGAACCGTCAAAAAGTAGACTGTAGCACTTTATAGAGATGGGCTATAAGTTTATAAAGGTATGGTGGTGTGGTGCTTGTGTGCCGTGGAGTCAGCTCTGATTCACAGCACCCCTGTATAGTGTTTCTGGATGTGTGAATCTTTATGGGGTCAAACAGTCCTATCTTTCTCCCTTGGAGCAGCTGGTAGATTCAAACTGGTGACCTTGCAAGTAGCAGCCCAACTCATAACCCACTCGGCTACCAGAGCTCCTTACAAAGGGATATATATATATATATATATATATATATACATTGGTTGCATGTGCAAAGAAAAAAGATGGGATAGAAATACAAAAAATATTCATGAAGATTTCATTGAATGATCATCTTATTAGAACTTTACACTTCATTCTTGATCATTTCTTTTTCTAAAAT